ACGGCTGGAACCGGGTCGCCAAGCTCTCGTGCGGTCTAGTGTTCGAGAAGCCGTGAAGGACAAGTCGGTCGTGCTAGTCGAGGGCGTTCCAGGAGCGGACGATTCGCTGAGAGTCGCTCGGACGCTGTGCACAGTGACAAACGGAACGGTGCTGGTCGAGGTGTGCAACGCTTCTACAGAAGAGGTAGAAGTCTTTTCTCTCCTCAACGTCTCACACGCAATGGCGAGGCAGCTGAACCCTTTGAATAGTTCGCTGGAGTTAGTCGGCTTCCTGGTTGATGACTGACCAATGGCTGCGACGAACAGTTTGATTTGAACCTCAAGGTGGTCCTGTTGTCATCGTAGCTGAATCAATTCTTGCTGCTTTCGAGAACGAAAATGCCTGGAGTATTGACGGCACTGCTCGCGTTTCCATTCACTCTGCACTTCGTCCGCCCAAGTCTTGGTTAACGCCTCAGCCCATTGATGAGCTAAAGACGAGGAACTGGGCGTGCTTGGCGAGTTTGGGCTCGTGAACATCGTCAAAACAAACTAAAATCGAAACTGATCACGTCGGTGCATTGGAACAGCGATCGAAAAGAGACAGTTCTCAGAATCCCTTCCTTTTTGTAATGGCACAAGTCGCACCTCAACACGATAACTACTCTTTAAGTGATGCACATTTTTGTGCATGCCACACCCTGAGGCTACTAAATATGCAATATGTAATGAAGTTGTCTTCGGGTCTATTTGGTACCCTTATCGACGCTATAACGCAACAATATTTAACCGTCACGCAATCTGTGAATACCAAGTGCCTCAGAGTCACGTAATCTGTGAAAATCAAGTAACTTAGCGTCACGAGGTATATGTCGACAGAAGTCGAGTCTGGAGCTTACCTCGCTGCTGTGACTGTCGTACCAGAGTCGTCCTTTACTGCTGGAACTCCAGAGCGAGAGGGAACGCCGAAGAACATCAATGCGGAAATAAGCGTCTCTAGTAGGAACACCGAGACTCGGGTTAAGAAGGAAGAGGCGGAAATGACCGCGGCAATGAAGGACGGAGACAACGATGACTTTGAGATGGACTTCCAAGACTCATCGTTAGGGGCGGAACAGAGGAGGCTCTTCGTGGAAATGTTGAAGGACATGCGAGACTTGTTCGTCGAGACTTTCAAGAAGCCTGGGAGGACGGAACTTCTGAGGTTCAGCATTGGAGCGCATGCGCCGATTAAGCAGCCCCCGTACCGGATTTCGAAGGCTGAAGGAGACGTTATGGAGTCTGATATTCAAGAGTATTTGGACCTTGGACTCATCAGGCCTTCAACAAGCCCGTGGACGAGTCCTGTGCTTATGATAAGGAAGCCCGACGGTGGTATTCGATTATGTATCGACTACAGGAAGTTGAACGCCGTCACGGTGAAGGACAGCTACTCGATGCCGTTAATCGACGACATCTTGGATGTTGTGGGGAACGCCAAACTCTTCTCGACCATGGATACCGCCTCTGGATATTGGAACGTTCCAATGAATCCATACAGTATGGAGAAGACGGCGTTCACGAGCAAGTTTGGATTGTACGAGTGGCTTGCCATGCCGTTTGGCTTGTGCAATGCCGTTCCAGCTTTCGAGCGGTTGATGGAGAATGTCCTCGTTGATCTCAAGTGGAGGGTCTGCCTGGTCTACCTGAACGACTGTGTCGTCTTTAGTGACGACTTCCTTACTCATTTAGTGCGAGTGCGCCAAGTCTTGGAACGCTTCAAGAAGGCCGGATTCAAGCTGAAGATGAAAACGTGTCACTGGGGACGTGATCAGGTGGAGTTCCTGGGCCACATTGTGACTCCAACAGGGATCCTACCTAATCCTGAGAAAGCGAAGGCGGTAATGAATATCGAGAGGCCGCATGACCTGCACACGGTCAGGGCGTTCCTGGGGTTGATTAGCTATTTTCGGCGTTACATCCCGGGCTTCGCGGCGATTGCAGCACCTTTGGAACGCCTGAAGCAAGAAGGGGTGGAGTTCTCGTGGAACGATGACTGTGAGGTGGCGTTCCGACAGCTCCAACGAGCACTGGTGAAGCCCCCTATTCTCGTGTACCCTAGTTCCAGGGAACGGTTCAAACTCTACGTGGATGCGTCACACTTGGCCGCAGGAGCATGTCTGATGCAGAAGATTGACAAGCGTGACCGGGCGATCGCGTATGCTTGTAAGATCTTGGTAGGCTCCCAGCGGAACTGGATTTACAAGACGAGTGGAACAACGGAGATCGAATGTTGGGGAATCGTGTGGGCCACGCGTAAGTTTAGGTGCAACTTAGACCACGCAGAGTTCAACCCGTTTACGGATCATCAGGCGCTCACGTGGATTATTGGTGAGAATACGAGGACGACGAACGCCAAGTTGGCACGATGGGCTATGGAGTTGTCACAGTTACGGGTTAAGGTGCACCACAGGCCGGGAACGTCCATGGGGCATGTGAACGGCTTGTCGAGGCTGTACCACCGACCGGGCGACGGGTTAGTGGGCGCTATCCGGATGGCCGACCTCCTCGATGAAGAAGCGGGAGATGAAGTCGATCCTGGAACGCCGAGTCCTGAAGAGATTTGAACGCTGGAAGGGACACCGGATCCCGGTGGAAGGATCGTAGGGAACGCCGAGGGATGGATCGCTGGAGCCGGACGAGCCTCTCACACAAGCGGAACAGGAAGAGGATCTCCACGGTGGAACTCCTCTGATGCACCCGTCACCTGTGGACGTATTCTGGCTGGATTGTGACAAGTTCGTAGAAGAACAAGGGCGCGTGCCTTGGGTGAGGGCATTGAAGGCGTTTCTTGAGGATGGGGCGTTGGCGCTCGTTCCGCAACTAAGGGTCAGCGTGCTGAAGATGTCACCCCACTACGTGATGAGGAACGGAGTCCTGATGAGGCTTGTTCACCTGGGAGCGCGTGGTGGTCCAGCAAGGACGATGTGCGTGCCGGCGGTGCCGTTACCTTTCATCGAGACGGTCCTACACTATTGTCACGCCGACATCTTCTCGGCTCACCTGGGAAAGACAAAGACCGTTGACAAGGTGAGGCGGCACGCCTATTGGCACGGGTGGAAGAGAGCCGTGGTCGAGTTTGTGCGTGAGTGTTCTATCTGCGGTGGTGGCAAGGGTCATAGGCCTTGGAGAGCGGGGCTGATGCAACGGATGCCTGTTCAAGACTTGTCCGGCCCGTTCGCACTACTCGTGGTGGATGCAATCGGCCCCCTGGTGGTGACAACTCGAGGGAACAAGTATATCCTGGTGTTTGTGAATTACTTTACGCGGTGGGTCGAGGCGTTCGCTGTCGCGTCGCTCGACACGATTTCCTTCGTGAACACCATGATAGAGGGTGTTATCTGTCGGCATGGCGTTCCAGAACGCCTACTGAGTGATCGAGGGTCCAACTTCACGTCGAATCTGGCCAGGTCGTTGTACGAGACGCTGGGAATTAAGAAGTTGTACGGGGCAGCGTAGCACCCGCAGACACAAGGGCTCGTGGAACGCTTCAATGGAACGCTGATGGGGATGCTACGGATGTTCGTGAACGAGACGCAGACTGACTGGGACGTATATCTGCCGACGGTCTTGTTCGCGTACCGGACGGCGTATCATGAAGGCCTAGGTGATACCCCGTTCTTTAGCTTGTACGGGCGAGATCCTGTACTGCCTATCGATTTGGCGTTCCTAAATACGGGGAAGGAATGGAAGAGCAACGAGGCCGCAGTGTATAGGCGGAAATTATATCACTCGTTGAGGAACTCGCGAAGGCTGGTGGAGCGACAACTACTTAAGGCACAGGACAGACACGAGAAACGGCTAGAGAAACAAGTAAAGGTGTCGTATGCGGACGGAGACGCCGTCTGGGTGTACCACTACTTCAGAGCTCGAGTTGGGGAACGTAGGACGAAGAAGTTGGCGTTCACCTGGCATGGTCCATACCGTGTTGTCGGCCAGGTCGGGGAGAGCGCCTACAAGATAGCGATCCCAGCTCACCCGAACAAGATCGTTACGGTGAACGTGAACCGCTTGAAACGCTTTAGGGGTCGCTGGAGTCGACCGTACACGGACGAAGTACCGGACAATATAGGAGAAGACGACTCCAAGGAAGAGACGGGTCCTCTAGAGATGAATGACCTACCACCTACTAGATTCGTGGAACGCCAATCTATTGGCAGTGAGGAGACGGCCTTCTCTGGAGTGTCATCGCCCATTGCGGACATTGCGGCTAAGAGAATCGAGAAGCGCGAACTACAGTACCTAGTACTAACGGCTACGTACGAGACGTTCTGGCTGGCTCGAGCGGCGTTAGCGCCTGAGTTTGGAACGCTAATCAGAGCGTTTGAGGACGCGGACCGTAAGAAGAAAGGTCTGCCGGAATTACGTCGGGACGCCCGGTTGGTCGATGCCAACACGGACGTGGATGACGCGGATGTGATGTTCTAGTTGGCCCTGGGGCCAGCTGGAACGGGCGCAGCTTGGTGGCTACGCCGAGGAGTGTGCTCGTGGACTTGCGAGTTCCAGGGCATGGGTTTGTTGTTTATATTGTGTATAGGGGGATGACTTCGTGTCGTATCCCTGCGGGAGTACTTTCGGAGTTGATGATTTGGAACGAGGTGGAACTTGCCTCATTGGAACGGTGACGGGCTAACCAGTAAGAGTGGAAGAGAGCTATAGAAACAAGATGCGTGTCGGCATGCCAGACGACGATTTGATTGAAAGGGAGCACAAAGAGTAATTACGAGGCAAGGTTGTGAAAGGAAGAGGAACGCTGAGATTGAAAGGGGGTTAGGAGTTAGCAGGGGCGCAAGGCTCGACGAGTAGGGCGGAACGGCGTGGAATCACAGGACGGTGACATTCTGAGCGTCGCTCTGATGGCCTCCGTCATCTTCCTCTTCGTCGACTTCGTCGCCATTGTCCTCTCCTTCTTCGTCGTCCTCGTCAACGTCCTCGTCATCACCTTGGGCTGGCGTGCCTGCTCCTGCACTGGAAGATGCTGCTTAATCGTCGTAGTTCCCTGCGTCCTCAAAGTCGGACCAGTCTTCGCGGTCGAGTTCCTTCTGGGTTGGAGGATTAACGGAGGGGAGTTCGTACGTTCGATCGGCCATTTGGGCCATAACGTCGAGTTGGCGTTGCTTGACGCCGTTGTTGCTGATGAGCGTTTTCCAAGGTTCGGCATTCTGGTTGATAATTTACGACGTCTTGAGTTTGGTTTTGGACGTGAGATCCTGCCGAATGCGTGCTAGTGCAGTCATGGAGAGACGGTTCTTCGCGATGGCCTTGGGATTCAGGGCTTTGGTGAACTCGAGGAAGGAGAGCACTTGCGGATACCCATAAGCGTCTACCTTCGCCGGATTGAGGGCATTCTCGAGCGTGGCCTCGTATCGGGCCTGATCTTTGTCGTGGAGGACAGCGAGATCCTCGGCGATGGGTCCTTGGGGCTGTCGACCTCCGCGTGGAGACTTGCCAGGCTGGCCTCCGAGCCAGGACATTTCAGGACGCTTCTCCAGCTTCTCGAGGAACGCGTAGAAGCCCCAGGTCTCGATGCAAAGGCTCGTGAAGGACAGACGAGCGAGAGAGTGGCTCGCATCTTCAGCTTGCGGCGATAGGATTGAGCTGAGCTTGATTCGAGAGGGACGTGGAACGCCCACTCCCAGAAAGCACGCCGGTGAGTCATCCAGAACCGCCAGTGAGCTCGGTGAATATCCTGATTTTCAGCTGGGTCGTACCAGAGGGGTCGACCCGACCATGGGTACGCCAAACGCCAGGGAGTCTTGCCGGCTTCTTCAGCCTTGTGGAGGACGATAGCGATAGCGGTTCGTACGACTCGAGGAGCGCTGGGATTCACCTCTAGTAACTTAGCGAAGTCATACGAGGGAAGCGTCGAGGCTGTCAACTTCTTGGTAGACCGAGGCTTCTTAGCGGACGACTTGGTGACAGTGTCATCTGCGCTAGCCTTCCGTTTAGAGGTCTTCTTGGAGGACGTCGCGGGTTTCTTGGCCGAAGATTTCGTAGAAAGCGCGGCCGCGGGTGCTGCACTTGGAACGCCGGGCGCGGCTGGCAAAACCACTACTGGACCCTGCAGGCTGACGTTCGACTTGCCTTGGACAATGTCCTCAACGAGTTGATCGAGGTGTTGGAGACCCGTGGACATGCCGTTAACCCCGAGGTGCGTGCGTAGCTCGTCCCAGTGTTGCTGCTTGAGGGCATTAGCGTCAGAGGAAGGGCCCTGTTCTTCGCGATCAATAGCGGCGTTGAGAAAAGCGCGGAACCGCTTCAACTCGGCGGCTGTGAATCGAGTCGTCATGGCGGAAGCGCTAGCGGCGTAGGTCGATAGGAGATTGGGAACTGAAGGATCCCATTCCGGAGAAGATTAGTAGCTGCCGTTGGGTACGCCAGGGAAACGCCAACTGGGAAGGGGCGTTGAAGTGGAACGTGATGAAGGGAATTGACCCTGGGCGAGGGGGCGCCAGGTGGGACATCTGCCCTGGCTGTGGACGACGGTTGGAGGTTCACTACGGGAACTGGCAGACGATGGAGAGGTGGCTAACATGGGCTGGAGCCGCAGAGCTAAGGGAGATAGCAGGAACGACAAACCATTGGGCACTCGTTAGCAGTGCCGTCGCTGGCATCGTAGTGTGGGTGGTGACCACTCCGCTGAGGAACGTCTCGTGGGCGTTCCTATACAGCGTCGTTGACAGTGGGAGGACAGTCTACTTCTCCGCGTACACCTGTGGCGACAGATACCTTGAAGCAGCGCGGAACGCTAATGCTTTATCACTACCTCCTCTCGAGTATGCGTGTGCTCTGATCTCGTTGACGCTCCTGATTCCTATTGCAGTGTTGCAAGATTATGAGTCGCGATTTGGGATAACAGGACGGCTGTGCTTAAGATGGTGTGAGGCGTTCCACCACTCCTGCTGTTTGTTCGTGCCGGACGCCGTCCAGCTACTCAGGGTGTCTACTTGCAGGTATGCCCGAACTACAGGGGAAGCTACGGTGGCAGTGATCGAAAGGACTGGCGATTTCTTGATGGGTGTTTTTTTGGCGGCCACGCTACTATTGTCTATGCTGGTATACTTGCCACGATTGGTGTATGAGATCGTAGAAGGCGTGCTGGGAGGGCCGATCGGCGTAGTTTTGGCGGTGTTCGTGGTGAATGTCTACTTCGAGTTTACAATGGAAAGCTGATACTGGAGTGCCGCTGTGCTAGTGGTTGGCTGCTATAGCCATGGGCTGCATTATTACTGAGCGTGTCGTCCCTGTAGTAAGACAGGACTGGGGTCGAACGTGAAGCAAGGATGGGATGGACTCGCTGGGCGCATAGGGCGTTGTGAAGAGAGAGAACACGCCAGTTTGGAGCGTCTGCGCGGAGCGCAAAGGAAAGGAACGCCGACGGAGACTCAAGCTGCGAGCGTAAAGTCGGATAGAGCGCCGACGAGTGGCGTTCCAGAAGTGGCTGCTGATAGGACCGTGCGACCGGCGTCGGGCAGAACGGCTCGGCGAGGGCGCCGAGGGTCGGTCGGGGAGAATTGTCACGGTCTACAGCTAGATGGAGGTCTCGCCATTCTCGCGGATTGCATCCACAAGGTCTGCTCACTACAGGGTCCTACAAGCAAGGGCAAGAGGAGCAGACGTCGGCGTTCCACGTCTAGAGTGGGACTGGGATGAAGGGAATGAGGAGGTACCTCGTTGTGGACCGCCGCGTGGTAAAGATTTGTGGACAGGTAAGGGGCTTCTAGGTCGTGGTGAGACCGTAGGGAAGAGGCTCAGTCGTGTTTTTTTCCTTTTTAAGAGAGAAGTACTCAGAATGTATCAAGTTACATTAGGAATTATCGCTCTAGTTCTCGTCGCTACGTCGGCTTGCTAGATACACGACCCCGACACTAAGGAGGATGACCGCGACAGACACTCGCACTGACCCATAACGCGTAACCGTAGTACATGTACAGACGGCGCACAAGCTGTGATGCACATCTGGATTGGGCTGTTCAAGGCCCCCAAGACTTCTTAGATGCATCAATACTGGGCTCCACCGCTACAAGTTTATATCAACAATAACATAAAGCGTAGGATAACCATATCTTCGGCCATATGAATTTCTGTGTCTTTGCGGCAGTGAAGGGACTACAGTGCTGTAGCCGCTACATTGTAGCGTAGGATGACTTGAGAAATTAATCTCAACATGGCACCGGACGAGCAAATACAGATGTGCGCCCACCACGTGATCACTTCGACGATGTGCTCAATGCCACAATCCTCAACCGCTCAGTATTGTAGACCCTCTCTGGTTGAACTTTACTGGATAGCTCACGTCATTTCGAGTTATTCCTCCTCAAGCCAAACATGGCCTCGACCGTCTCGC